GGGGGAGTAAAGGGACCCTTCAAAGGCAACGGCTGGGGGCAATCATCTGAACGGGGGGGACGGCCATTAGATTGGGGCCTTGCGCGCGCGACGACGCTTTTACTACGAAACCTTGTGCCAAAATAAGGTGCTTCACTCTCTCTCAATGCGGCGAGATGAGCACAAGCAAAAGTGTCACACAAAAGTATGAGAGATTGCCCATCTCGCCACACTGCATCAGTTGAGCAGTATGGGCCTCAGAGAAACGTCGTAGAGATATAAGGTGGTTTACGGCTGGGGTTCGGTGGTCTTGGTGATGGTGGATGACTAACGAGCAGTGAGTCCCGTCGAGTGTTGGTTGGATCAGAGAGAGATGCAAGAGTCAAGAGTCATACTTCGTACAGAGAGGCTCTGAAGCAAGTGGAGGGATCCGCATCCCCGTACGAAATACACCGACCGTAAGGTAGATATGGAATAAGGTAATGTCGGTAACAAGGGGGGGGGGGGGGGGAGGAAAGTGTAAAGGCTGCCCGTGGACATCAAGTCAGGGACCTGAGGTGGAATTAATTAGGTTCTTCCAAACCGGCTCCAACCTAAAAAGAAACAAGGTGTTGGTTGGCAGGTTTGGGGCCCTGGACTTTGGGAGAGTCGAGACATCAAACGGACGAGGGAGATCTGCGAATCTTCTTCTTCTTTTTTGTGTTGGGGCTTTTTTTTTTCTGCCAGCTGTAATCTACCTGCTTTCTAAGGTTGACTTTTTGGCCCCGTCGTGGAGAAAATCATGGTGAGGCTACCTTAATTGTGAGGGAGAATAAAAGAGAGAGACTTTTGTCCGTGGGCATTGTCAATTTCATTTCTGCCAAGAATCATTTCCAGAGATACTTTGGACGAGATATATAGACGGCTTTCTGTTTAATTGATTACTCTCTGGATTGGGTATATCCTCCAACCGTTGAAAAAAACAAAAACAAAAAACAAAAAAAAAAAACAGGACACGATGATGAGAATTTGGTGAGTATGGTGCCTATATGTGGTACAGTGTAGTGCAGTTTGCGATTGCCCACCCATCTGCGCATCATCGCCCCTAAGAGGATCCAGATGTACCTTTTGGTGTCCAAGGTACCTTTGCCTCGCCTTGCTGTGAGGTGAGGTGCCTGCCTCTCAGACGGGGAATGGCAGCTGGTCGTTGCAGAGGATCTCCAGCTAAGAGGGGAAAAAATCCCAACCCAGACCAGAGGCAGGAAAGGCCCCAAGGGAAAGTTCCCCCCTCCACTCCCTCTTTCCCTTCCATTTCATTCGTTACCCACACCCTACCCCCTCTCATTGTGAAGGTACTTAGATACTCGGGTACTTCCAATCACGCCCCCCCCCCCCCTTCCCCCTTCACTCTCCCGTCCTTCTCTCTACTGTGTGTGTGTAGAGACTCTCGGTCAGGCCCAATCACGATGTGTCTGGATCCCATTCGGTACTTGCCTAACCTTGCCGGTGACTGATACTTGGCGTCCCGTTGCTTCTGAATGGATGCTGAGAGAGGAAGTGTGAAGGTGTGTGTCCGCCCAACCCAACTCGCCTTTCGTCGAATCGTGCCTGCCAACTCCTGACTCTTGCGTGCCTGCCTTTGCTCTCGTCCTCGCCGCCTTCCAATTCTGATTACATCATTCTAGTGCTGCGATATGTGGGCAGTAAACGGGCGATGCGAGCAACGGCGACAAGTCATGGTTACACAGAGCACGCTTCCCCTCTCTCTCGCGCGACCAACGGCTGAGGTTGTCTCTCTTTTGTGTGTTTGAGGGGTGATTTTTGCTTCTTTGCTCTCCTTTCTCTCTTCCTTTTTTGCTCCTCGGATGCCAAGAAACCAGTCGCGATACCAGACTCGGGCAGATATCCTCAACTTTTGGCTTTTCTTGCCCCCATCAGACCAACATGATCACGAGAACAAACCAAGCAGTCTCTCTACTTAACCATGCTACCTCATTTCTCGGCCGTTTTGACCGCAGAGAAAGAAAGAGAAAAAATTCCCATCCTTCTCTACCATCGAGCCTCCGGTTGTCAGACCGTTGAGTAGGAAAAAAGACTGTGACTGGCTGGACCACGCGCAATAAGGTTACGTCCCCAGACTCGTCTCGTTCCAGCCGCGTCAAGTTGCACATACTTATGGGTTTAGACGGGAGCTCAGTCCTCGACTCAACCACCACCACTATTGCAGTCATCTTTCTTTCTTCCGGATCCGATTCTGGCCTATGGCCTCCCGTCCCTGACTAAGAAACAGGTTCCAACTCGTCACCTTACCGCAATCACGGCCTCCTGGCTTCAACTGCATGGATGCAGGGCCAGGCTGATGATCTGGCTTACAACCCGAACACTCTTGCTATCAGGACTGCCACAAGGCTCCCATCCTCACCAATGCACAGTACCAAAAGACTCTATCTCACCAAGTATCGGCCACAAAGCTCATCTCTTCCACCGTCGCGGCGGGCGAGTCGTCAGTATCACAGCTGCAGGGCGGGAAGGTGAAGGACAGTCAACGGACCAGCTCCCGGAAGTGGGGCTCTTCTTCTGCCAAACAATCGTCTGGCCATGTCAGAAAAGCAAAGCGTCTTCCGCTGCGCTTGGCTCCTTTTGCGGCCCCTCGACTCCAGACCATCCCCGTCCCTCTCACCTGGACCATGTCACACTGCTTCTTTTCCAATGTCTCTGCAGCAGCACCCGGCCTAGACGTGTCGCAGACGTGCCGCACCTTGTACCAGCTGGCGGCGCTGCACGCCCAAAACGCACTGCACCGATTGACAGATGCTGCAAGAACCGAGAAGGATAGACAGACGGAGACACAGACAGACAGCCTTCAGGCACCGCGTAGCAGATGCAGACGCAGATACAGACACATCCAGAGAAGGCTTCATCAGATTATGCCAGGTGCCCCACTGCCCGCCGCGTACCTTGGCCGCCAAAATAGCACATCCGTTTCAAGTGTGGACGGCCCAGCATACAACAGACGGGGAGGGGGGGGGGCCTTGACCTGGATCCGTCGGGCCAATCTTTGTTCAACATGTCTTTCTGCTTTCGCACCGACTTCTCGCCTCGCCCTTGTTGCTTTTCGATTTGATGAGCCTGAAGAAAGTCTTCCTACTTACCGCTTCTTCGATGGCCACTAGAACCCCCCGGTAGCTCTGAAAGACCACCGCTCTGTCATCATATAATCATGAGCCATCGCCACCGCGCATGCCATTCAATATATGTATGGCCAAGAGTCGTGGCAGAAGGGCAGATTGTCCTCCTGGCTCCCCATGTCGCCAGCCGTCCAACGCCTTCACCAAGTGGCCGCTCGCACTACTATCTGATGGCGTGGGTGCTCGAGCTAGTGACACTCTCCGGGGGGGCCGCCAGATGGAAGAGGCGCAGGCTACTTTGTACTGGCGTGCGCGTGGCTGACAATCCAGTCTCGGTCAAGTCGATCGCCTCACTAGCACATCACCCGTTCATTGGTGCTGCATCTTCGGGGTCTTCTCAGCCCAGCAGGGGTTGGCAACACCATCAGCCAGATCCTTGATCCGGTAAACAGCTCCAATGGTTCGAGGCAGCTGGTGTGCGTACCAAAGCTGCGCTGGATCTATTTCTTTTTTTCCTCTTTCGTATTCCACGCTTCGATAATGGCAGTCGTCGAACAAACCTCATCATCAGCTGGTCCAGTCTGGAGAAGATACGAGAGCTATATTTCTCGCCCGGTCCAGCTCGGAGGGTTGACCGTTGTTCTGAACTTTTCCTGTCGACGTTCGTGCAGACGTTGAATCGTTGCTTCCTATTATTGGCCCGTGTCTGCAACGATCACCGCCAGGGTTCCGAGTGGCAGTACAGAGTACGGAGTACTATCGACAGTATGAGTTGAATCCTGTCGCATCAACCACTTCTTCTAGAACTTGGGCGGAAGATACATTCCTCACAGGTAAAGAATTCTTTCAGATTCATAAGGAACAAGAATCAAGTCGGCAAGGGAACTTGTGCGCGGTCAATCGTCTGTTTCTGGTTCCAAGCCTTACGCCTCGGGCCACACACCCCGCTTCCCCAGCCAAAGTGGCTGACAGGCAGACAGGGTCATGAATATGCAGAAACGAGGCAGCACTGCTGTGAGAGCTGCCAAAGAACACGAAGTAATACACACATACCGCGCAGCGAAAGCAGCGAGGCTAGCAGCCGACTGTACGACGCCGCATCAGCTCGAAAAAACCCTGGCACGCCTGATTCTCAAGAGCAAGAGAGAAGGGCGCACAGTCGAGTGTTCTTTTCAGGACGCTGCGCAGGGATCGCCGCCCGGCTTGATGTTGCCAATCACTCCAGGGCAGGGTATGCAGCACAAAGAGTTGGCCACGACACCTGCATTGCGATGAACATAAGGCTGTGAGAAGATATCTCTCCCTCCATCGATGGAAGGTCATCTAGAAAAAAGCAGACGAAACGAGTGCGAATAATGCCAAGCAACCCACCTACGTGCCTACCAACCTTCTGCTCGCTGTTATGCTTCCACGCGGGAATCCCTGGCGTAGAGCGACTCACTCAATCACCTCTGCTCTCCATCCCAGAATACCTTGTTTCTCCCTCTGGTCTTGGTGATCTAGATGGCACCGTTGCTTTTATGCGCTCGGGGTCATGGGATTGCCACCGTGCTCTCCTCTACCTTTGCATGTGTATTCCGGCTAGCGGCAGGGCCATTGACATGAGATACACGTTGAAAAGGACGAAAGCAGAGACTTGGTATGGGCTTAGAGTTTGCGCTTTCGTTCCCGCTTGAACGGCACGGTTGAGGGTCATACAGTCGACAGATTCGAGCACAATCTGTTGCCTCTGTCGCCGCTACCGACCTTTCTCTCTTCAAGGTGAAAATGATGCTCTAACTCGGGACCTTGAGGGCAATGTGAAGCGTCTCGGTATGCCTAGGCAGGATTTGGGATGCCAACAGCCCACTTACCTGGGATGATCTGCGGGTCCCCCCCAAAGTTTCGAACTGCAGTGCGGGAGCTAGCTACGCACAGAAACCTGTTGATATGACGATCAAAAACACTCATCAACAAGAAAGAAACAAAAAAAAACAAGCAATCGCTCAATCACTCTACATCGATCGACCTTTGTGACCAGCATAAGAGGGCTGCTGGTCTCCATCGGAGGACATGACGGTATGAGTTTGGACTTTGTCATACCGGGCAGAGAGGCTCGATTGGCAAGGGAATGGCGTCACCAAAGACACCACCCATATCTGACGACACACACCCCTGGCTGAGATCGATGGGCATCGGGGACGATTGTGGCCAGTTGCCATCGCATCACCTTATTCAGCCAAGCATACGCATCGCGCACTTCATTTTAGAGCGGTCGAAAGAGCCGCGAGTTTCTACTTGCGTGCTTAGATGGCGACAGCTCGCAAGTTGCAGCTGCGCCAAAGACAGAGGAAACAGTGTCCAACAGACGGTACCTCGTTTGATACGGTCGAAGATGTCTGATCGTCGCACTCAAATCGACGACCCGGGAAGGGCAAGGGGGCCAGACCCCCGCCCCTTGTGGTGGGTCCGGACCATGCTCGAGTCCCGGAGCCAGCTCCCCCATCTCATTGTGTGTGGGTATCCCATGCCATGAGCCTCCATCAAGCATCGCGACAAGAAGCTGGCGCTTGCGTGTGTCAAATATGCCACATTCAAAGCACCGCCAGGATAAGAACAGCAAGAGACACCTGCCAGTCTTTCTTCTATCAAGACGGAGCTTTTCACTCGTGTGCTGCGCAGGGGACATCGAGGAAGAGAGCATTCGTGCCCCTGAGGATCTCACTGGAAGGTGACGGAAGCGTATGCGTGTCGCTGGGACGAGTGTCCACTACCCGACAAGGCCAACCCCTGGTCAAAGGGACCGACCCAAAGAACGGACAATGATTGGCTTTCAAACTCGGTAGGCGGCACCTACTGGGGCGAGGTGTGTCTCTTCGTCTCATTTGGGGCCCGTCTCTCTTCTCACTCTCAGTCGCCAGTTTCTTTTTTTCTGCCCAGCAAAGACGGTGGCTTGAGATTACCACCGGGCCTTGGAGGAAGCCGTTCTTTGGCTCATTCGGGTGGCAGTCCAGCCCGTGGCGAAAAAGAACCACTTGACAGCAAACTGCAAACGATTGCCAGCTGATAATCGAATGTGTATACAGGAAGAGACGGGGTGTGAAGGTCGGATGTCAGGTCAGCGCATCTTGTGTTGGGCGATGTGCGATGTAGGTGTCTTCCATGCCTTCGCGACTGATGAGGATACCGGGTCAGGCACAGGAATTGACTGCCACTTGTTTTTTCTTCAGATCCCGACGCCCTTCCAGAAGGCGTGAAGAATATAGATAAGCGGTAAACACTACTGCGGTACGGATAGATGCCTTGAGTGCGGCTCTCTCCTTTGCACCAAATTCGCGACATCGGCATGCGTGCCGACGTACGATAACCACGGGGCACCGGTAGTTTGGCCGGGTGTTTTTGATCAGCCTCCATCAAACTCGGGAAACGCGATGTATAGCTGGCCGCCGGCCGCTTTTCTGACAAAGGATTGCACTTTGAGAAACATGATGGGTATTCCCAGAGCCCATAGGTACTCCGTACACGGTACTCATAAGGCCGCCCAGTCTCCGAACAGAGTTGTCTGATGGCCACACATCGTTCGCTGACTGACCACCTGCTCGATACTCTGCCTGATCCGAAGGGACCTGGCATCTGCTCCGTGCAAAAGAAAGGGCAGCTTGTCAAACCCGGGTCCGCGTTGGTCATGGAGTACCCCTGCTCGTTAGTTTTGACCTTGACAGGGGTCTGGGGCGGGTTGCGGGCCAAGCAGAGCGCGGTGGTGGTCGACCGTCGACGTTACTGCAGGACTTTCGGACCTTTGGACTCTGGTAAGGACAGACTGACAGACCAGCCGACTGCAGGTCTCGTGGCTGCGACTTACTCTACAGATAGACTACCGGTACGGCTACGCGACCTATGCCTTGTTGTCTGGGCCTTGGACGGGGACCGAAGGCGTCCTCACAACTCTGCATGAAGAGGGTACTGACACCAAGTTCGCCATACCAACGAAACCACCTAGCAGGCAGCGAAAACTCAGGGTTGCAAGAAGCTGGCTTCGTGCTCTCGTTGGCAGCCAAAGAGGCTAGAGATCTTTGTCTTCATTTTGGTGAGATGAAGATTGAACAAACCCTGGGAGCCCGCACTCTACAACACATGGGTACTGCAATGTGTATCCATACGGATACCAGAGCAGCACCTCTCATATAGACCTAGTACGCCTGGCTTAGGAATGGAGAGGTGGGGATGAGCACAGACAAGCGCCTGCAGGGCATCCCAAAAGGGGACCACGCCAATGAGCTTGGCTCTCCCGACCGGTACGGAGCTCAGAGTGGCCCAAGTCTTTTTGCTCGTAAGTGCTGTGTGTGTGTGGCAGCGTTGGGAAATGGGAGGAAGTGGAGAGAGGGCCGGTGACAGTTTCACCATGTGCTATGAGCCATCTGGTGTTTGCCTGGCAGTGGCAGCCCTCTCTGCCGTCTTCTCGTTGCTGGCCGGCTGTGCTTCTTCTTGAGTGGCAGGGTGGCTTGATCGATTCCTTGTTTCTTCTTGTTTGGAGAAACAGCACCACCACCAGGAGGCACTGAGACATATGGAGAGACGGGGAGAGCGTGTGAGAGATGGACGGGAAGCATAATGGCTTGTTTGATGGATGTCAACTTTGGTGTCCCATCATCCCGTCCATGGTCCTGCGAGGCGCTGCTGGGACAGTCAGTCAGTCTGGCAGTCTGGCTGGCTGTGGCTTGTGTTCAAGGAAATCCCTGGGATCTGCAGAGCCGGGGGGGTAAGGAGGGAGGGGGGTCCAATTCCGTATCTGTCGTGCTGCAACGCCAGGTATCGACATGGTGCATGGGTTTTACAGTCATCGACTTTGCCGCCACTTTGCGCGGGTTCGGGTGCCTTGCCTTGCCTTGCCTTGTCCTTCTTCTTCTTTTTCCCCTTGACCCTGGACTTGGGTGCTTCTGTTTTTTCTTTCCTGCCCTCCCGCCCTTTCTCTTTCTTCTTTCTGCTTCTTGTTACCGAGTATGGAGTAGCGTGCTGCGTACCTAGGCAGAGTCTCCAGCAGTTCTCCCACTTTCCCCCCTCTGTTC